ACTTCTGGGCGGGTCTAACAACTTCTGGGCGGGGCTTAGGACTTCTGGGTGGGGCTAAGGACTTGTAGGCGGGACTAAGGACTTCTGGGCGGGGCTAGGTCATCCTAACCACGCACCCTTCATGCAGCTCCGATCAGATGTGGGCGTGTCCCAGGTACACGATGAAGGAGGGCAAACACATCGAGTGTCGGTTTGACGTCTCTGCCTTTTACAACCGGAGACAAGACCCGTTCTACCGGTTCTGGGTGACGGGCACCAGCCACCGGGAGGCCATTCCCTGCTCTGAATTATTCTCCAATTTGCGCAAGATCGGTGAGTGATTGAGGGACCAGGAAACGTCTCTTTTTCATAGAAGCATTTTTTTAAAAAAAAATAATTTCGGTGAGGAAGGGAGAGGGATGGAGAGAGAGAAACATCCGTGAGGAGAGAGAATCATGGACCGGCCGCCTCCTGCACGCCCCCGACTGGGGATGGAGCCCGCAACCCGGGCCTGTGCCCTTGACCGGGACTCGAACCCGGGACCTCCTGGTTCCTAGGTCGGCGCTCTAACCACTGAGCCACACCGGCCGGGCACCAAGCCGGCTTTTGAGCGTTCTGTCCTGAGGTCGAAATGCAGGTGAATTATATTTTTTTTTTCGGCCCAAAGCCAGTTGGGTATTTATGACGTCATTCAAAAAACATACAAAATTTTCTACCTAAAAACTTACTCTGCAAGCCCTGGCTGGTGGGGCTCAGTGGGTAGAGCTTCAGCCTGCCCTGGACGGAAGGGTCCCGGGTTTGATTCCCGGCCAAGGGCATGTACCTGGGTTGCAGGCACATCCCCAGTGGGGGGGCGTGCAGGAGGCAGCTGATCGATGTTTCTCTCTCATCGATGTTTCTAACTCTATCGTTCTCCCTTCCTCTCTGTGAAAAACAATAAAATATATTTAAAAAATATATATATATATTTTTTATTGGTTTTAGAGAGAAAGGGAGAGGAAAGGGAGATAAAGGGTGTCCCAAAATTCACGCAAGAATTCTTTTTCATAGAAAACACAGGTTTATCATTAAAAATTGTAAATTTTTTATTGATTCATAAAGGGCACAGTCTAGGGTTATGTATGGAATAGCACATCAGGTAAGTGGCCTCCACGAGAAATGAGAAATACTAAGGATGAGAGAGAATCATGGGTCGGCCGCCTCCTGCACGCCCCCTACTGGGGATCGAGCCTGCAACCCAGGCCTGTGCCCTTGACCAGGAATCGAACCCGGGACCCTTCAGTCCGCAGGCCGACGCTCTATCCACTGAGCCACACCGGCCAGGGCCATGACTGATCATTTTTACACCCAACTACCTACTTGTTACATCTGTATGTTGTTTCACATACATTCTTTATCCCGCGTCTGGGCCAGCAAAGCCGGGGAGGCCATGGACCCGACGGGCTATTGCATCCATAAACCCTAGACTGTGTCCTTTACGAATCCATAAAAAATTCACAATTTTTCAGGAGAAACCAGTGTTTCCTTTCAAAATTACTTCTTGCGTGAATTTTGGGACACCCTTTCGCAATACTAATGGCGAGAGAGAATCACGGATCGGCCGCCTCTTGCGCGCCCCCTACTGGGCTGGGAAAATATATCTAAAAATTTTTTTTTTTTTTTGGTTTTTTTGGGGTTTTTTTTTTTTTTTTTGGTGCCGAAACCCGCGATCGAATATAAATTTTTTTTTAGTTGTTTCCCTGATCTGAGCTTTTTTTTTTTTTTCTCTCTCTCTCTCTTTTTTCCTTTTTTCTCTCTAAACATATCCCTAGGTGAGGATTAAAAAAAAAAAAGCTACATAGAAAGTTTCATGACTATCTATATATATAAAAGGCTACCTTTTTTCTCCACCAGAGAAGTTGATCGCACCCAACATCAGTGCCACGTGCAATACGTCTCTCGCGCTCCTGCAGTGGGACATGTCCAGCCACCTCCACCGTCTGTTTGACTACGACCTCGAAATACAACAGGTCAACCCTTCCGTCCTTTGAAAATGTATTTTTTATGGATTTCAGAGAGGAAGAGAGAGGGAGAGAGAGAGAAAAACATCCACGATGAGCGAGAATCATGGGCCGGCCGCCTCCCGCACGGCCCCTACTGGGGATCGAGCGCATTACACCGGCCTGTGGCCCTGGACCCGGAAATCGAACCCGGGACCCTCCCAGTCTGCAGGCGGACGCTCTCTCCACTGAGCCACAACGGCC